GGGGGGGGGGGGGGGGGGGGGGGGGGGGGGGGGGGGGGGGGGGGGGGGGGGGGGCGTGGCGAGGTAAGCGGGTGCAATAACCCCAAAGATTCCTGCAAAGTAACATCAGAGAGGAACTGAAGCAAAAGTTGCATGGCTAAAATTATATCGAACAAGCCAAAATCATCATAATCATTTGCTAAAATTAACAGTCTTCCGTACCTCGAGGTGGAAAACGTATTCTTAATCAGAAAGATTCTTAAACTTCATCGCCCCGTCAAACGCTGAAATAAAATAGCAGAACTAAGAGAAACAATGAGAGGTACGGCCAGTTTGTCTATAGATGAACAATTGCCACTCAGATATCGCCAATTATGCGTGCAGTAAATACAAAACTTGAAATATCAATGATATTCGCCTAGAAATATACGCAACAAAACTGCGGACATAAACCAATACTTCATAATATAACGAGGTTAGTTGATCTCTGGTGAGAACAGGCAACGTGTCTCTTAGCTTTTGAGTAAAACTGAATAAGTATCAATAGGCCACAGTTTCCGAGTTACCTTGTACCTCTGTTATAAAAGGAGTCCTATTATTATGATAAAGAGTTTTATTTGCATGAAAATGAAGCTGTAGGTGGAACACCTTTTCATAAGAATGGTTTCGCACGAGACTAGTTTTAACGCAGAGGCAATAGGCATTACGAAAATGACCATTTGTTTTTTTTTTGTGTGTGTGTGTAGAAACTTTGCTGAAGCTATACACGAGAGCCTAGTGATGCCAGGACCTGGGGATGGTGTCGTTGCAGATTTGTTGTCCATTAACATTCAGCGCGGTCGAGACCATGGCTTAGCACCCTATGTCGACTTTCGAGTGGAGTGTGGCGGGATTGCCAATACATTTGACGATCTACTAGCGGACATCGATCCAAGCCAGGTGGCGAGGATTAAATCATCTTACGTCCAAGATTACAATAACATTGACGCATTTCTTCGAGATATTGATTTATATGTTGGAGGCATTAGCGAGAATCCGCAGGCTGGGTCTATTTTGGGACGGACTTTCACCTGTATCATCGCCAGGACCTTCCAGAGGTACCGTTTCGGGGATCGCTTCTGGTACGAGCGCGACGACCCCTACACTGGATTCACCTTGGAGCAGTTGGACTCCATCAGACAAGGAAGCTCGCTTGCAAAAATTATCTGCGATAATTCAGACAATGTGAAGGAAATTCAGCCGAGAGTGTTTGAAAATAGCACAGATGTGGTTCACTGTGATGATATCCCATCGATCAACCTGAATTTGTGGAAAGAAGGTGAGGATAAAAAAGATGTATTTATGTTGTTACGATCATACGAGAGACGATGAAACTGCTGTCTTCAGACGTGAGGGGAAAGGAAGGTATTAGAACTGTCGAATCAGTTAACAAGGGAGGTAGCGTGGCCGAGTGGTTAAGACGCCAGACTTGAAATCCGGAGGTCGCGGATTTAAGTCCCGCTCTGACCACTAAGCTGGAGTTGTTTCTCGGCAGACCCTAGTTCAACTCCTCGGTCATGCTTGTGAATAGCCAACTGGTCTGCCTCCCGCCAGCTGGGATTTTCCATCATAGTCTATTATGTTTAGTTGATATATTTGTTTCTTTCAGTTTGAGTGGCATGTCTGTGAACTAGCTTGGTATAGCTCGCATTGATTACTATAAACAACGACATTTCAACACTTTCACCATTTGAAGAGAAGCGCTGACTGCATTCTAAAACCCGAAAATGAATATGGCTGCTTCTGTCATACACCCACTGAAGGGTGATATATATTTGATAGAGTTCTATTCGAGCTATCGGTCATTGTGTCTAGGTGGCTTCAGATTTATGAGTAAAAGAATTAATCTAATGTTCACACATACTTTACTCTGAAATGCCAAAAACATGCACCCTGAGCGCTGCGTACGTTTTGGTAAAAGCTTTTTACCAAACACATTTGAAGATATCTCGATATACTTAGAAAGCGAGCATAATATTCACAAAATGTTCTTTTTTTTTCCTTCCTCATCCCCAGAACCAGGATATGTCTCCAGATTAAAGGAATCTAAAAGTTGCAACGAAAAGGAATAAACCCGAACAGGACTCGACATGCCTGTGGAAAGAGACTAGTTTTTTTAACGTTTCTCCGCCATTTTTGTTAATAGCATTTTATATAATCATTCTCTTTGACAACTAGATTATGAGCTCGAGATTTCTGTGTTAACAACCGCACACTGCTGGTATACTCATTATCTGCAACAGAGTAGATAGTGGGTAGCGTCGGTAGCCGATAAGAGAACTGAGCTTTCGTAACAGAACGCTTGTAGATTTATACTAAAGAAGTGTATAACTAAGTGAAATGTGTATTTTTTAGATGCACTAGTAAGCCGTTAATTGCGCTTGACTCCGTTCCCTTAGATTGCTCAACGACCACTCTCATTATGGCACAAAATCCTATTCTGATAGATTGAAATAAATAGTCTAAATCAAAATTAAAAAAGAGACACTTGTGCTTTTAATGGAAGCACGTTGTGGAACCACCATTACGTACCTCTGAAGATCGAAAAAGAAAAATCACTGGCTTGCCGCTGTGTTATTGAGCAAAGTAGACCAAGGCCCGTCTACACTACGTCTGTCTTCCCGCTGAAAACGCATCACTTCATTTTTTCCGTTCACTCTACGCTGGAGAAATATGAAAGCGCAACAATCATCGGCCATTTTGGATTTGTGTTTGAGGTAAACTCGGGCATGAACTCACATTCTTATCACGGTGATGTCATCGTTTTCTCAAAAGCTCCGTTTTCAAAATGCTTTTCGTGCACACCAAAACGCAAAGCCGGCGGTTTCGAGTTCCTCCGGTTTGAAGAGCGTTTTCGAAAAGCTCCGTTTTCGTAACGGATTAGTGTGGACGGTAGGCCTAACCTTAATAATAAAGCTGCGTTTTCAAATTTCTCCGGCGTAATGTGGACGGGACCTGATATAAAAACGTTGCTTACACGATACTGCGAAGCCGCCAGCTTGATAAATGGATATAGGTGAAGTGGTTATCAAACGTCTTTAACGAGTGTCAATGTTGTTAAATAAAAGACCCTGTTGTCATGTGGGTGTTCAACAAGTCCTTGCACGGAGTACGTCTAATCTTAACATATGTGGATAAATACGAAATGACTTACGTCCTGTATTGTTCACCGAGAATGAGCAACAAGGAACCGTTAATAGACACATAAATGAGGAGAGTTTTATATCTTGGCTAAAAAATTGAGTAACATTGACACGGCTCTAGGCTAATCCTCGAAAGAAAAATAAATCGACTTATTAAAATAAAATCAAAGCCCTTGATCTGATATTGACGTTTGTAGGGGCTGGGGAGGAAACGGGCTGGGGGTTGTATCCACGAAATAGATGTGTTTTTTTCTTTGTTTCGGGATGGAAGAGTATTTATCACGTTTACTAAAGAGGATCTAAATTGGTGTCTATTAATGGAGGTGGGTGGGGGGGGGGGTGTTGAGATCAAGAAATCTAGAAGTCCCTTAGCAGTGGAGGTTTGGATGTTTAGTTACAGCTTTTCGTTCTTTCTTTTTGTTTCGTTCTATAATTATTGTGCTTATAACCGTCAAGTGTGCGCATTCCTGGCATGTTCGCCCTTTCACGACGAGCCTTGCTGCTTCAATAGTCCAATATTTTTAAGTTGTTCAGTTATTTATAGCCTCACAAATAGTTCTAACAAATGCAAAATTTGCTGAAAAGTAGAACAGTAGAGGTAACCCTTTTCCAAAAAATCGGTCGAGGTGTTTGTCAAGCCTGAAAATTATCGTCAAAAAAGAAGAACAAAACTTTTGTCCTCTGACACGTTAAGAAAGTCTCAATATTAGAATACACGTTTCTTTCAAGAGTTTTAGTTCAGTTTCAAGCCTAACTGTTTTTTTCTTTAGTATCAGAATAGCCATTTTGAGTGCTAATCCTATCGTCCGCAACCACTCGGACAGTCACTCCTATCGACAGTAAGATTAGAAATTCTTACGCTGCCATGATGGTCGAAGACTAACTCCTTATAGCAAGAACAACTTCCCGCAACTTCTTTTAGCCTCTGTCCCAAACATGATATAGTACAGATATCGTTATAAATGAAATATCCCGAAGGCGGATGACGCAGTTTCCTTATACTGCCTTTTGCAGCCCTTTGAGCAAGATGACAAAGCGTAGCGATCGATCTAGTAGCTGAATGAAATATCTTTATAATAGGTGACGCACTTTCTATTATACTGAACCCACAACTAACCCCTCAAAAGAATATACAAACCCACCTACGAACTATTACTTTATTAAGCCGCGTGGCAAAACAACAGCTTCCTCTCGACACAAAAAAATTTGCGCCGATATTTGCCCGAGTGAGGAACAACGTTTAGGAGGCGAAACTCAATAATGATTACAGATTTTAAGAAAGAGATAAGGTCAAAGAACAAATATCTCTGAATGTGTTTGGGATCAAATGGGGCTGTTATGTGCAATATCCCTGGAATATTTTTCGGGCACGCAAACTCGATTTGATCAATTTAAACCAAAAATTTGGCTAGATAAGTTTGGTTATTTGTTTAGCTATTTACTCGCGAAGAATAGCACATACTCTGACTAAGGCGCTAAGGCTTTCCATTATCACCCAAAGATACAAGTCTACGATCTCGTAATGAGATTACCACAAATTCCTCTGAGTTGATTGCTCATTTTAAAACGCGCAAAATTACCTTTTGTGGTAGGCTTCCGATATCCCAGCTAAGGCTGTGGAATGACTTGTTGGCACGTGACGCTTTTTAACCAGTCATGAGCGAACACGTGCTCTAACTGACGTAATTCATGGGTTTTCATTGGAGCTGCCGAGCTCCGCTTACGATTGCGCCGATCAAAAGCGACGATTCATTGAAATATTCCCAAACTTGATCACGAAAAGTAAGTTCTGCTGTTGCACTCCAAGTAAGGCCAAATTCACCCAAATTGATTGGTTAAGCAAAATAAGGTAAGAAGAAAACAGTATAATATTTATAAGGCTTAAAATAAAAAATTAAGTCTCCATCTATCATGAAATTTTGTTTCTTACTAAAGGTTAACGGAAAAAAACCTAATTGAAAGATAGAAAGCATTCCTTTTTTTCCGGCAAAAGTTAATTCCATATTTTTCGTCTGAAACATGAAAGGGAGTGTACTGTATGCAGTTTTGAATGTGTAGATACAATTTACTTTTCACTTTCAATTTCTGATGCGGGAGTTATTTTGCAATTCGATGAAACAATGGCGAATGTTTGCCGTTTGCTATAGTACGTGTTTTAATCAAACTCTCAACACACGTTCAGTTTCCAGTTACCTATGGTGGTGGTTTAAAAGGATTTAATAGCAAGGACCTAGCAATGATTTCAATGTCTTGGAAAACAACAGTTTAGTATTATGTTTTATGTGACTAGTCATCCAGCGTGGGCGGGTCGATGGTGGCCATGTTCCTTTTTAGAGTAAGCCTTTCTTATATTTCGTCAATCGTAAAATTTCGATAAAAAACCAGCTCCAACTATGCTTCAAGGAAATCACGAACAAACAACAAGGTGAGAAACGCTCCGACGACGAATAGACACGTTCTTTGAATTGCCCTGACAAGAGTAACATGGCGGCCCGTCATTTCGATCATCATGTCACATGAACGGGAACATGATCAACGCGCCCCTTTAGACTTAATTCACGCACCTCTTGGAAATTTACAGAAGCCATTGATCAACCTCTCAAGCGAAATAGGGAGAAGTCAAGAGAAGAAAAGTACCCAAACTGAGAATGCTAAGAATGTATCGGAGAGCTTGAAGACGAGATCGACAAGCTACAGGAAAGTATCGTCACGCTGGATCTGTAGTCGAGGACAAGTTTTTTTCTATAGATTTTGAAGATTCAGAAGAAAATTTCTGTTTAATGTCTATAATGAAGAAGAAGTGATGCCAGGGGACGTTAACCTCGTGAGAAAAAAGGAAACAAACTATGTATTAACACACAATTCTTTACCCCAGAGAAAAGAGAGCTCTTGATAAGCAAAGAATGCAGCTTCAGCTGTCCATGTTTAATTTGGTAGCTCTATCGAAGGGTTTTTTTTAATGTATGCAATCTTAGTGTCAATGATTGCGTCTTTGCCTATGAAAATGGACTGCCTTGTATTGAAACCTGATGCAAGCAGCAAACAGAATGAACTCGACTTCTCCTGAGGGTGGACCGATACGACTTTGCTTCAAAGATGATGTTAGCTTGTTGCAAGCAAATTGCTTCGCAGGGGAAGGGAAGTCTCAGTAGCGAGGCATTAAACACGGTGAAAGGCGAAATCTGTATCCATTTGCGTTTATGGCAAGTGTAAAATTGATTTGCTTTCCTATGTACATTATACAACGACATTCATCGCGAAATGACTTGATAGCTCAAGGTGATCTCGCTCAGCAAATTCTTTGTAATAAACCTGATGTTGGCTTCTTTGGTTTCTTGTTTGTTAGTTTTTCCTTTATTTCTATTGGATATAAGGAGCTTTGCATTTGCGCGTCTAAGGTGTAGTCAAAATCAAAATGTGTAGAATCGCTGGCCGCTGCCTTGATTTTGTTGTAGGTTGTAATAAATGTTTAGATTTCGTGAAATTTCATTAACCTCTCAGGACTAAATTCAGTTTATCGCAGTGGCCGCACGGAGATGGCAAATTTCTCCTCGAGTGTTGAAATTTTTTCAACATGAGAAATTTCGTACCTCCAAGCGACCAGGTAATTTTCATTTTATTATAGCTTATTATATTAAATCTCCGCAATACATAAACATACCAATAACGACGTTTATGACAATTTTTCCGACCATACTACGAAGATTTCCGAAGATTCTCCAAACGTTGTCCGAAGGACACACGAACGTTTTCCGAACATTTTCCAGACATTTTTGGAGATCACCGAAGATTACTGAAGACTTCCGAGGGCGATCTGAATATGTATCGATCATGCACCAACAGTTTTAGGGTCAAAAATGATATCAAAAATGTTGTCACACACGTGTGGATAAAAATGATATCGTCCTGAGGCAGAATAAGCATTTTTATCGATTTGCTATCACTCGGTATAACACTAAAATTTTATATCATAAAATCAAGTAGCCTTGTTGTATCTACTTTATATCGATCGTGAATTCTTGTAAACGTTTGGATTACTGATGAACAAAAACAAACAATTTATCCGATGTTTTAAGTTGCTTTAAAACAACTTTTTACTATTTAGCGACTGAACGAAGTAAACCAAAAATAGACTGTATTTCGACCAGGAGCCATAATCGGGGACGGAGACCGTAAGCGCGCGCATTTCTAGTATTGGGGTTGTCCTCATGATATGGGACAATAATTCTATTTTTAGAACAAATTGCGCCATCGCCTGCGGCACTCGCGCGTACATGCTGCG